TTTCCTTCTTGGAATATTGAAGTCTCAGATAAAATAATTTTTGTTGACGCGAAAAGAAAACAAAAAAAAAAAAAACATACAAAACGCAAACAAAAGAGAGAGAAAACAGGAAAACACAAAACAAACCAAAAAAAAACTAAAAACTAAACAATATATTAAATCAAATAAACCGATGCTTTCATTTCGTGGACAACTTAGAATGCTGTGCGCTCCAACAATGTCTAGAATGCTAAGACACATACTGCCAAGACACCTGAATCGAATTGGATTCTTCCGTTACGCATCTTGCGAGGCTAATAAGCAAGGAGGCAAGGGCATTGTATTGGGACTGTATGAGAAAGAGAGCGGCAAAGGACCGAGGCTAACGCCTTCGGGCGAGAAGTTTGATGATCGCGTTCAGGGCAAGTTGTCAGAGTTGATATGCGAAACAAAGATTACAGGACGACTGGGACGTGGCAAGGTGTTTAACAATGTAGACGCTGATTTCCGATCCATTTGCATTGTGGGTGTGGGCCTCGAGGGCATAGCCTTCAACGAGTTGGAGATGCTGGACGAAGGAATGGAAAATGTTCGCGTCGCCGCTGGCATCGGGGCCCATTCATTACAGACAATGAAGTGCATGGAGGTGCACGTGGACAACATGGATTACCCCGAGCAGGCGGCCGAAGGTGCCGCCCTAGCGATATGGCGGTACGACGAGAACCTATCGAAGAAATATCGGCAAATCGTGCCCAAGCTGGAGCTGCACGGCTCGCCTGATATGGACGCATGGACTCGTGGCTTGTTCAAGGCAGAGGCGCAGAATCTGGCCAGACGATTGTCCGATGCCCCGGCCAACTGCATGACGCCAACCATCTTTGCACAGGCCGCTGTGGATGCACTTTGTCCTTGCGGCATCACCGTCGAAGTTCGTACCATGGAGTGGATTGAGCAGCAGCGTCTCAACTCTTTCCTCATGATAGCCAAGGGCTCCTGTGAGCCGCCTGTTCTACTCGAGATTGCCTATTGTGGTACAGCACCAGAGGACAAGCCTATCCTTCTTGTGGGCCAAGGCATCACATTCAATTCAGGCGGCATCAATCTTCGCGATTGCGATGGCATGGACGAGTTCCGCGGTGATCTGCAAGGTGCTGCTGTCATCCTTGCGTCAATGCGAGCGGCCGCTGCCTTATCTCTACCAATCAACATAACCGCCATCCTACCTCTGTGCGAGAACCTTCCGTCCGGCATGTCGTGCAAGCCGGGCGATGTCGTCACCCTGCTCAATGCCAAATCAATGGCCGTACGGAATGTGAGCCGGACTGGCGTCGTTGTCATAGCCGACCCCATGCTGTATGGCCAATTAACATATAAACCAAGACTTGTCGTGGATGTCGGCTCCATGTGTTCCGGAATTAAGAAAGCCGTTGGCGGCGGGGCCACTGGTATTTGGTCGAACTCTCACTATATTTGGAAGCAATTCCAAAGAGCCGGCTCCCTAACTGGCGATCGATTGTGGCGTTTTCCCCTGTGGAGATTCTACAAAAATCGCGTGGCTGATTGTCTGAGCTACGACTTGATGAATGACGGCTGTGGCGAGGCCTCATCCTGTTTGGCGGCTGCCGTTCTGCATGAGCTGGTACCGTGCAGCGATTGGGCGCATTTGGACACATTTGGAACCGGACTACTGAGCAAGTATGGTCTCATTCCCTATTTGGCAGCCGGGCGCATGACTGGACGGCCGACTCGCACGCTAGTCCAGTTTCTTTACCAAATGGCTTGCCCCGAGCAATCCAAGTAGTTGGGTTTGGTTTCCATACGTATATATTATTTTCGACTTGGATTCCAACCTACCCCGGATCTATAGGAAACAGATATTCCCCACTAATCATTAGGCAGTAAACACAGTAACTTATTTATTTTTTTTCGATTATGTATATGTAAGTGATTGTAAAATTTTAAGCGCTTGTACAGGAATTCACTACCTTCGTAGTAGTGAGGCTCCATAACACAGTTTATTTTTAGGATTTCAGACAGTTTTAATGTTAGCCCTCCACGATTTTACCTCAGATACTCTTGTACACCGCGTACTGATTTTGGCACACGACCAGAGCTTACAAATTGTGTGTGAGCAAAATTGATTTGTCACCAAAAATTATATTACTTTAAAAGTCAAATAAAATTAAATGTTAAAAGTACATTTCTTTATCCAACATCGCTTTCACTCATAGATCGAAGATTATGTAGATATTTCGTTAGGGGCCAGACGGTCAATGGTTGACAGATACGCTTAAAATCAGAGCTAATCTAAAACAAGTAAGAAAGCTCTAGTCGAGACTGCTCGACTACGAGATCCCCTGAACCCT